TTTTATTATTAATAGCGCTTCCAAGGAAAGATTAAATGGGCTTGGGTAGCCCAAAACGACATCAATCTGGATGTTTCATGGTGCTTGGCTTTCGCAGCAATAACTGGCTAAAACCACTTTGGTTTCAGCAAGAATTGGCTGAAACTACTTTGGTTCCACAATCCGCATTGCCCCAATCTCTTTGTTTTGGCTTTTACCCGCCGACTCTCCGCAGTTGCTTCCACGGCAAATTTACTCTTACATTCAAGATCCTGCATTTAAATAGCTTCTCAAATAAATCTTAAATTTGTCAGTTTGATTAGAACATAAAAATGAAAATCCGTCGATCATTGTATTTGATTGATGTTACCAAGTCTTACCTCAATTCAATTAGCCAAGTGAGTTTGTTTTCAACTTTTAATCATTTTTTGGGCTAATGCAAATTCTCTATTTCTCGCATAATATCCCCTCCCCCAAATTAAATTGCCTCCATCACTGCTGCAGACGTAAGAGGTCCTGTCCTCGATTGCCAAGCACTGCCTCACAGATGGCAATGCAGTAGCTATTGGAGAGACTAAAGAATGGGCTCCAAAATGGTAATGGACAAGGCGTAACTTTCCGTATCTGCTCCTTTGTGGATTTTAATCACTAGCAGATTGTTTTTTGGTCTTTTGACCATATCTCCAAGCTACTAGAGAAAGGAAAACGAAGTAGAGCTCCTGTATATGAAGGTGAGGATTCCTTAAAGTGAAAATCGAATAGGAGAAGCGGAGTGGGTTTGATTTCAGGTATATTTTCTATCCCCAAATCCGTTGTTGATTAAGAGAATCATATGATTTCATTTTATTTCTTCCAATCCATTAAAATATTTTCTACAAAATTGAGTTTTGTAACATTTGGGTTCTTTGATTTGTTGATGAATTTATAGTTACTTTGCAATAGGCACTTTGATATTATTGTTCCCTGCATTAGAGGAAACAAACTACAAAAGTTTATTCATCTAGTGCTCGAGGCATTACCCAAGTAAAAAAAAAATTGTTTTCAATTCTGTACATTCCCCATTTTATTCTTGCAGTATTAAAATAAAGGAACCATAGAGAAAAAGGATATAGTGAATCTAGCCACTACTGCAATGACTCTACTTCACTTGCAAATGGATTAAGGTGCCTACCACCACATGCTGTTTAAGGTTGCCATCTAAAAAGGGCTAAAATTTTTGTAAATGATGTAGCTAAAGAACGTGCTACTAATTACTGTTGATGGGCATATTAAAATTGCTGATTTTA